TAGAAGCCAATTTAGAAGTCTTCTGAGTCTCCCAACTTCACCTTCTTAAATTATAAAAAAATCAAATTTGTCAGGCTATTCTTCTTTCAACACCACAGTTATTCTTCTGTCATCCTTATTCATTATCCAGATTAATACACTAAGCACTTAAAACATAACCTCTAAAACTTGAGTTAATACCCTTATTTGTAAAGGAGAAGAAGCTTCTTTGGTAATGTGGCCTGTTTTAAGATGTAGCTGTCTGGGAATCTGATTCTTTTCATATAAATGTAGCCACTTTCGTGATAAACCTTTAGGTGGCAGCATCACTCACCATAAACTGTAGTTGGATTCGAGTTTCTCAAATTCATGAGATGTTTGAGACTGAAGGATATTCTGTGTCCGAGGAATCCCTCCTCCATGGTTCAGGAATGAATCAAGCAGAGGTCCTTAAAGCTGTGTAGCCCAGGACTGAGGTGGGGTAATCTATGGATGGCCTGCCTGCCTAGGACTCTTTCTCCCACTTGTTCTTTTGCTGATGCAAAATGTTTCCTGACTCAGCAGCTTTAATAAAAACCACAGTGTAAGTATGAAGCAACCAAGTGAATGACTTGGGGTTACACTGTAATATAATGTGTAATGCTTGAAAAGAACAGACAGTCTGTGTCACTTTCTTTTCCTAACCATTTTATTGAGGAAAAAATCACATACCACTGAGTTCTCCACTTACCAAGTGCAATTCTGTGTATTTTAGCATTTCCAAGATTGTGTGAATATCAGCAAAATCCAGTTTTACAACGCTTTCCTGATCCCCACCCCAAAAACTTATATACACACCCTTTAGCCATCACCTCCAGCTCTTCAGATAACTCTCTATCTCCCAAGCTCCTGGCAAACAATCTACTTTCTGTCCAGATTTACCTATTCTAAACCTTTCATATGAGTAGAAAATGAAGGATTTTAAGACTAACTTCTTTCCCTTAGCATGATACTTTGAAAGCTTTTCCATATTAAAGCGTCATTCAGTTACTTCATTTATTGTCTGGTATATTCCACTGTACAGACACCCGTGCTTTCTTTAGCGTTGTAAGGGCATTTGGCTATTACAGATGATACGGCTATGAATATTTGTGTATACTTGTTCACATAGGAGTGGAATTTCTAGGTCACATGGTAACTATATCTTTCAATCTAATGAGAAACTGCTGAAGTATTTTCCAAAGTGGCTGCTCGATTTTTTATTCCCACTAGCAATGTGTGGAAGTGTTCTATGCAGTCTTATTAGGAGCTTTAGATTTTGTAATGGTAACTAGATGAAGGCTGGGGAGAGGAGCAAGATAAGACTTTGCCTTTCTCGTCTCCCTGAATCTCTTGCTGGACCAGCTGATAGGTCTTTTTGAAGGCAGCTTCATGAACTGCTGGGAGAGCAATCGTCTCCTGTTCCCACAATTACTGTGCGTCACCAGTCTGATAAAATGCCTGTGCTGTATGGCTGCCCAGAGTGTGTTGATATTACAGGCCGGCTGTTTGTAATCCTTGCCTCCTGCCTTTGGAGATACCAAGCAACCAAATAGTCGCTGTGCCAGTTTGAGAAAAACTTTGAATAAAGAACCCTTAGCCACAAGTTGCCCAGGTTTGAACATGTCAAAATTACCTTCCTGACATGCACCAGAGACAGCTGTAGACTTCAGTGCAAGAGAGCAGCTTTTGTTTTTGTCAGATTTTATATTCTTAAAACGGAACTGACCCTTTTTCTTCTTTGGCAGCCTAGACATGACATACCCGTGTCTCTGCTGAATCGTGTGTGTGTGTGTGTGTGTGTGTGTGTGTGTGTGTGTGTTTTCATGCTATCAAGGGAGGGGAAGGGGCCGGCTCTTCCTTTAGGCATATTTGGGTCCTGCTAAGGACACACACTGTACATTCTGAAGCTTTGTTTGCATCTGGAAAAAATTAGACACACAAAATATTTCCCACTACAGGTCCCGTCAGGAAGCCCAAGTATGTGGAAAGCCCCAGAGTGCCTGGAGATGCAGTTTTAATCCCATTCAGAGACGTGCCCAAGCCACCAGAGACCAATGAGAATGGTAAGAGTATGTTTTCTGTGACTTTTTTCCCCCCTTAAAGACTATATAATGGAACTCTCCATTTCATAGTGAAACTTGAGTGCTTTTTATAGGAACACTTTGCTGAACAGAAAGTTATTTAAAAGAGTTTTGTTGTTTTTCTTTTCTTTTTCATTTGGACACTGAGAAGTCTGTTTAATGAATATAAATTTTGTTTTCCATTAAATACTCAGTGTAGGAGCTGTTTAATGGTTGAATCTTATTTCTTCTGAATGTGAACCAAAAAGTTTTGTTTTTTATATCCCACTGTTTTAGAAGTATGCAGTGTGAAGTTCTGGCTGTTAGTTGAAACTAGATAATAAAGTTTATTATTACTAGCTTTCATAAAAGCTTTGGGCAGCTTTTGAAAGGTTTTTCTTTTTAAACATGAAAATTTTCATTTTGAGGACATTGTTATAGGGGGATAAAAAAAATACAAGCTGGAAGATTTTAATGAAGGTATTTTATCTTTTGCTCACCCCACCCCCTCACAGTTGTCTGTATAGCAGACACTATGAACTTGGAGCAGCTCATATGTGTATTAGTAGCTGTTTAAACTTAAAAATAAACTCAAGAATTCCCTGGTTCTTTCTAGGTATTCCTCTATTCGTAAAGGTTCGGTGTTGTAATTTGGATGTTTTCAACTTCTCTTTTCTATGAAAGTCTGTAATTAGATGTCATGACTCATTGAGAGAAACCTGCTTTACCATCAGTGTAGACCATAGGTTATGCTAACTGAAAGAGAACTTCTGAAAACTCCTCCTCATTTCCACTTTGGAATACCTGGTATCTTTCTCTCCCACTGATGGTTAGGAGAGTCTTGGGGAGGGGATCCTTTATGCTCTAGCTTTTATGTATGTACTTGATATCTCTGGTGCTGAATAGTGGAGAGTGAGTATGAAGTAGGACATAGAGTAGAGGTGGTTGTGAAAATAAGGCTAAAAACAAGCTTATAGAAAGCATTTACAGATGCTGAAAATGGAAACGGAAGAGTTAAGAGTGAATGAGTAGATGCTGGGAATTCCAGCCTGGGAAGAGGGGCTGTTGCAGGCATCTTGGTATGAGAATGTATACTCTCTTCCTCTCTGTTCAGGGCCTCATTTGTTTGGTTTAGGTAAGAGGGTCACACAGAGGATTTTGACAAGAAAGGGGTGAGCCGAAGAGAAGAGAGCCTCCAGTGGTGTTTGCTTTGAGTAAGCATTCATTAATATACGAGGCCTCTCATTGTCAACTGTTATGTGTACCCTGGTGTTCATGAGCCTGTTCTTTCTCATGTTTATTCTGGCTGTGGAGAGGAAAAGGAAGGCATTCTTCCCATAAATGAATGTCAGTTATGTGATTTGCAGTGTGGTCAGTGCATTTAGAATAAACGCATATCCCCTATCCCTGTCCCCTACTCCTTCTCCAAAGCCTTTTCAGTCCTGGTCAGTTAGGCCCTGGTGTTTGGTGGACCTGGACTCTGTCCTTCTGGCTGTGAGTATTGTTGAGTTTCTCTATAGAATTTAGATGTCCCATTGGGTTGACAAGTTTAGGGTTTTTATTGAGCAAAATAGTTCCCTGTGCTATATGGAGCTTTCTCAAAAAGTTGCAAATAGAAATAACATTTGGCCCAGCAATTCCACTACTGGGAATTTACCCTAAAGAAACCATAACCACCATCCAAGCAGATATATGCACAGCCATGTTTTTTGTGGCTTTGTTAGCAGTAGCAAAGAGCTGGAAACAACCCAAGTGCCCATCAACAGATGAATGGATAGAGAAGCTCTGGTTTATTCAAACAGTGGAGTACTATGCGGCATTGAAAAACAAGGAACTCATGAAATATTATGCAAATGGTGACCCTGGAGGACATTATGCTGAGTGAAATATCTCAGTCACAAAAGTACAAATATTGCATAAGGCCACTCTTGTAAAATGGAACTGACATCAGGGTTGAGGGAAGACAGAGGAGGAGGGGAGGAATGATGTATACTGCATTGAAACAGACGAGGAAGAGACTGTTGAAAAGGGATATATGATTATGTATTATTTTCATGGTAGGAGTCCAGAATGAAGTTTGCATAGAGGAGTGGACTTGGGGGGGAGTGATTGCATAACAATGAAGAGTTTTTCTTCTACTTTTCAAGGAGAAGAGTGAATCGGGGTTTGGGGGGAGAGGGTGGGCAGGGAGAAAAGTGCAACAATGAGTGATTGGAAACCCTAAAAAAGCGGGGGAGGGGGAAAGAACTTTCCTTCCTTTAGCAGAATTGGGGGTTTTTGGAGGGAGGAGTATGGCTTATGATTATGATTTGGTGCTCAAAACAACACACTAATTGTTATCAAGTCAATTTTAACTCATAATGACCTCAGATATGTTAGAATTAGACACGTGCTCTATAGGGCTTTCATGGCTGTGATCTTGTGGAAATAGGTTTCCAGTTTTTGTTTTTTGTGGGTTTTTTTCCCCCAAGGTGCCTTTGGGTGTATTTGTACCGCCAATCTTCCCATTAGTAGCTGAGTTGAGTGCTCAGCTACTTGTGCCACCCAGAGCTAAGCATAGTACAGTGGTTGATACTGATAGAGTAACAGAGCTTGCTTCTGTGTTTGACTCCTGGGACCAGTCTTCTGCTTCAGCACCATCTGTCTCTGGGGTGGACTGAAATCTTGTCATACCTGGACTATGAATACAAGACTAGATGTTTGCATTTTTTTAAAAAAGAGTGTTTGTATACCAGTGAAGAAATTTTTCTTTTCAAAGGGAGGAGCAAACTGGGAGGGAGAGATGGGCAGGGAGAAAAGTGCAACAATGAATGAATGGAAATCCAAAATCTTTGTTGGTTTTTTTTTTTTTGAAAGACAAAATTTTTGTAAATGTTCATTAAAATTAATTAAAAAATAATTAAAAAAAAGAGTGTGTGGGTGTGGGTGTGGGTGTACTAGGAAACAGGGCATTTTTCTATTTTAACTGAATTTCTAAAAAAAAAGCCAAGGAGAAAGGGCTAGTTCGCACATGATCAAATGTGAAAGTAATTACAATGTTGGTAGAAGCCCTGTAGAGTTACCTTTTTCTTGGTTATGATGAGGCTGTTACAGAATGAAATTGAACTTGACAATTAGTAAAGGGTGGTGTGTTTGGAATCCTTTAAGTTTCAGTGGGGTTAATTAAGCCTGCCATAGTAAAAGTAAATTTTATTGTTCAGGTCATTGAACTTAAAGGAGAAACTGGTACTAGCCTAAAACAAATAATTGCATTTGAATGTTAACCCAAGCAAGTGTAGATACAGGATTTGAGGCAAATCCTTATTCCTAGGGATTAATACCAGCATCATCACATAAGTTATCATTTAAAATTTAGTCTTATGCTTTCCCTAAATGATAGATGCCATTAAGTCTATAATTCTTTTTGGAACCTGCCAATAAAAATATTTTAGAATGCACCAGACTAACAAGTTCTATTGAAAACAGTTTCTTGTGAAATTTCTTATATACTTGTGAAATAATCAGTTTTTATTCTGTTTGCAAAGCTCTTTTCAGCTCAGCTGCCTCTCCCTTTGATGATTGTGCTGCTCCATACAGTCTAGTCTTGATTCTTAGCTCTATTTGAAGTTTAAATCAAAGTAAAATGAAGTATCAAGCACTTTGAATTTGTTCATTACTTGATATATAATTGTACTTAGGTATAATTTGTATATTTTAGCCATGAGAAGTCAGTGAGAGGACATGGGGCAGATGAACATTTTTATTATAAGCAAAGCATCTGTTTTATAAAGTTTGAGTTTTTCTGGGCACACCTTTAGGAAAAAAGACATTAATTTGTAGATATTTTAAAACTGCATTTTCTAATTTTTTACAATTGGGGGTGTGAGGAGGAAAACAAAGTTCTTTCATGAAATCCGTAAACAAAATAAAACTTCTTTTCTTTCCAGCAGGAGATCCTAACAAGCTCTATGCACTATAGAAGAGGTCCTGTAGAAATAGTTCCCTGCACTTAACCAACATCTTGCTTGGGGTGGTGGGGGGTGCTGTCAAAGGAAACCAGTTACCAACAAACCAATACATCTACCTTCAAGGGAAAAATCCCCATAAATTAGAAAGGATTACTATATTATAACAGGATTCACCAGCGTTTCTTTGAATTAGGGACAGTCATAATCCATTTAGATTTACTGTAATAAATCATTAGCTACTTGAGCAAGCGCTGGTAGGAAAGAGTGAAAAAGCTTTAGCCTCATGAGTCATTAGCAAGCTCTGGTGATGCAGGTTGTAGGGACTTGTGCTGCTCACCCAATGGTAGCACCTCTCTCCAGCTGTTCAAATCCTCCTTGGTCACCTCCTATTCAATGTAATATCATTATGTATTCATTTATAATAATATAATAATTAATTATATATTATGTATAAATAATAACTAGCCAATTTTTAATTTTATTTAATTTAAACCCTTGGAACACCTGGAGGGGTCAGCTGAGAGTCAATTCCGACACGACAGCAATAAGAGGTTTTTATTCATGAGTCATTGCCTGGCAATGATCATTCTCAAAATAGAAGTCTTTTCTGGTAATTTTGTTAACTAATAAATCTAGCACATATATGAAACAAAAGCGTAATTTCAGGTAAACCTGTCTGATTTATTATTGCAAACTGTTTCAGACATTTAAAAAAAAATTAAAGACTTTACAAGACTTAAGGACAAGGTTCAGGTCTGTTATTGATGAGGTCGCTATGAGTCATGATTGACTCGAAGACACCTAACAACAGCATAATAGAAGGGAGAAGTTGTGTTAACTAACCCAAGCTGTGTGATGAATCTGGGAGTTCCATAGATAAAGGTTTTGAGCATGGAAAAGACTTAATGAGAGCTTTGCCATAGATTTACCTGGCAACAGGCATGTAGGGTGGAGTGGGCATGAAGAGACAAAGATCGGAGAAAATGATTAGAAAATGATTTCAGTCATTGAAGTGAGAGAAGAAAGTCTGGGATTAGAAACGGGCCAGAAGAGAAG